TTGACAACGCTTGTTGGCCATGAAATGACTTCCCTGAGCAAATATAAGATCTTCCAAATCTATCAAGTTTCTTGTACCTTGAACCTGTCCTCCAGGTCCTCCAGTATCCTCATTTTCTTCCCGTCTTTTGCGCTGGGATCTCGCTTCCATTGTCTCATCAGCGTCGTCTTCACCTTTACCTGTATCTAATTGCCGCAAGATTTTGGCAAGCACCGGATCATCATTCATTTTGTTTCGGATTTTTTGTCTTTCTGATTCGGACTGCGATGAGGCCAACATCGTACAGTATGCAACTGTAAATTTTATAAATAATTTATTTTAAAATATTTTTCTCTTAAAATAATATATGAATAAAAAACTACAAATATATAAATATTAATTTGGTAACATATGCAATTCTTACCTGTATGTCTATATTTTTTAAGCTGTTTAATGAAATCAAAACAATCATAACCTAATAAAAGCACAAGCTGATTTTCGCATTCACGATCGTCTGCGGCATCTTTCAAAACAGCTAGTACTTCAGCAGCTCTCGCTTGCGATACCATGGCATCATCATATATCCTACTTAATCTTCTTTGCAACCAATATGCATCAATGTCTAATGGATGTAATGGTTTTTCTTTCTTCATTTCTTCTGTTCCACCCAGCTAAAAAATATATAACAGTTCATCATATAAATACTTCAAGTAAATTCTTGCTAATAATAATTGAGTTTCACTTATTATCAGGGCTGACACATTTCAAATACTTGTATTTGATATACAAATTGTATTTCAAATATCGTATTTTAAATACAATACAAAATGTATTTTATATTTTGTATTTCACAGTCATTTGATATTTTGTATTTCAAATACTTCCAAATAGTAATTTTAATGTATTTTATATTTAAAATGCCAAAAAAAAATTTTGTTAATAATCTTTAAAGCAACGTGAACAGACCTACTGGCTGCGTTCGGAAACGTAAGAATTATGGCAGAGAAGGAAACGTATCGAAATGTAACTATCGTATTCGTAGGGTAAGACAGAGAAAAACGTTGATGTCACAATCATGACTAGTCGGAAAAATGCCGGGTTTGCAAAAAAATTTTGGAAGTATACTGTATTAAAAAGTATTTTGTATTTAAAAAAATGGAAATATTTTGTATTTTGTATTTTAAAAAAATATTTTGTATTTGAAATACAAATTTTGAATGTATTTTGCATTTGAAATACTCAAAGAAAATATTTTGTATTTAAAATAAAAAATTTTGAAATAGTTTTTTTTTTGTATTTAAAATACAAATTTTGGAAGTATTTTGTATTTTGTATTTCAATATCGAAAGATTAAAAGTATTTTGTATTTTGTAATTCAAATACTAAGATTGCCAATATTTTGTATTTTATATTTCAAATATTTTGATGTATTTTGTGCAACCCTGTTTATTATTAACTTCCATTTTCTTAAATAGTAACTGCGGTCACACTGAATCGTGATGTCATAAGCAAGAAATAAAACATTAATTTTTGCTACATACCATTTGCAATAAAGATAATTTGGATAAACCGAAATGAGATCGTTTTGAAATATCTGAAAATAAGTCGTAGCTTAACTTCCCTGACAGTCAATAAATAGTCATAAAAAATTATAAAAAGCACGTGAAATATATTTCATTCAATACGTATGCGTAGTCTATTTCACACATGTGCCCTTTACTACTAACTCGGATAGGAGGGAGGGAGGGGGGATAACTTTGGCCTATTTTATAAATGTTTTAGAGCAATCTCATCATTTCGTTTTATTTACGAATAATATGTAACAAAAATTAATCCTTCATTTCGTATAGAGTCTTCAAAAAGTCTGAAAACATTAAGATATCATGAAAACGATCAACTAACGCGAAAAATCATTTGAAGAATCAAAGTTATAGACCTACATAAAATGTACTTAATAATGATAAGAATTCGATTTTGGGTGGAGTTTGCAAGATCAAGTTGAATTTTTTACATTCAACATGATTTGACGTTAAGAAAAACCTCCCTTGAAATCAAAATCGAATTTTTTTTTCTTTTAGAGATTGTTGAAACTATGAGATAAAAAAAATGTTTTAAATAAAAGTTGAATAGTTTCAAGAATAGTTTATAATTATAGTTAAACAAATTGTTTTTAATTTTTTTTTATAAAAAATTATTTATATAAATTTTTTATAATGTACAGTTATTAATAAATATTCTTTTCTGTATTTTCTCATTATAAAATTTTGTTTCTATATCTCATAGTTTCGACGATATTTATTTAAAAAATTTTATTAAAAAAATTTTTTTTAATGAGAGGTTTTTGCCGTTTAACATGCAATTGAGCATATATAAAAACTCTTATTTTTGTCTATATCTTAACTAAATATATTGCTTATTTGCCGGAACAATGACATAACTCCAAAAACTAAGAAAATTTGCAGAAAATAAGTTCAAATGTTTTAATCATTAAAATTTTGCAAATCATTTTTTAATGTGCTTGCGTAGGTGTGTACAAATTTATTCATAACAATTAATTATACAGGAATAAAAGTATCATTAGAGCTCTTTATTCAGAATAATAAATCTTTATTATCTAAGAATAAACCCTTAAAAATATCTTTTTGATTTATAATACTCGTGCTGCAAAATTTTCAATTAAGAATTATTTAGTAACATGATGTTCTTGTAAAAAACAAAGTTGAATAATCAATTATTTTGTTAAATTATTTGAGATTGTCATTATTTTTGTAAATTTTGTTTTACATTTAAAAAAATAAAAAAATACATTTTGAAGTAAAACAGTGAATATAGGAAAAATATCAAAATAAATTGCAAAAAATGTTATCACTACATTTATATTAAAAATAAATTGCACTCTAAGATAAATCAAAAATAAATAATTTGATGCCTTTTTGAGCCGAACACACGATGTTGGTGTGAAAAATAATTTATTCATTTATTTGAGATCTTGGCCATACGTTTCCAAGTTTCGGATCTTTTCCAGTGTCAATACAGTAATACTGTCAATCGAATGTATCGTTTCAACGAACTTGATCGGTTTAGTCCTTATTGAGATCCCATAATCGCGGTCCGGAAAATTCCGACGGTTCGCGTAAAGATACACGGTCGGTCTCGTGCTGACATGTCACTGCGCGCGTCTTAGCGCGAAACGTGTCTCCTAATGTTTTATAATTCTTATTATTTGAGCTGATTCATAAAAATTTTTCAATTTTTATATTTTTGTATGTATACTATTAGAGTTAGACATAATTGATTCATAAATATAATTAATTACAATTGTAATTGCAATTACAATGTAATTACAATTACGCTACAATTGCAATTATACTGTAATTGCAATTAAAGTAATTGTTGAGTCGCAATCATATTTAATTCAGTTACAGTTTATAATTGTAATTGCATACGGTTACTTTTACAATTGTTAGGCAAAATTATAAATTGAATATAAATTGGATGTAGATCACACAATTTAAATTTAATAATTTAATAAAAATAATCCAACAGTTATGTAATTGTACTTACAGTGGAATCATAATTACTTATAATTATAACTAATTACAAGGTTGGCAAGTAGCACGTTACTTGTAACACCGTTACTGATCGTTACTTTGTTATAATAACGATTTGATAATGACATTATGAATTTTTTATGATAACATGAGAATTAGAAAAATTAAACATTACTTGTAACAAGTTGAAAAAGTTACGCAAAAAAGATCTTAAAAATAGGATACATTTATACAATATTCTATAAAGCATTAAGGGGGCAAGCATACACTTAGATGTGGCAAAAAAAATCGATTTTTTTTTACATATTTTTCAAGTGTAATATCTTAAGAACGTTTTTGTAGAGTTATAAATTAATCCGGCAAAAAATAGAATTACACAAATTATAAATGAGTAGATTCGAACGCATTGAAAACGACGCGCCTGCGACAGAAAAGTTAAAATTAGAATCAAAGCAAAGATAAAAAAAAGAGTCTTTTTAGTTTATTTTCGTAGTCAAAAACGAGCAAAATTTTTTATGAAAAATCATTATGTTAATTTTGAACAACTGTCATTTTATTCAAACACAATATTTTAAAAAACGGCTTCGTCAAGCACAAGATCTATGTTTCAATTTTATAAAATTTGTGCCATTTTGCTTTTATACGAGTCTTGTGCGAGCAGCAATGTCACCGCAAACCCCGTTTTGTAAAACACGATGTACGAAAATTTGAATAGCGACTCCATTTTATATTATTTTTTAATAAAATTTTAATGGTAAATAGAGAAAAGTATGATCTTTATAATGAAGCGAACCCGATTTCTCTATCTCTATCCGTTTTTTTTCACAAAAAATTTTCCAAATTAAGCCTCATTTTGATGTAGGTGTATATGCCCCCTTAATTGTTCTTAATTCTCTATTCTAATTATAATACAATTACAGTTAATCAATTTACAATTAATAATTAAATAATTGTAATCTGTTCATAATTACTTTTCGCAATTACTTCATTTAATTATTTTCAACAATTAATAATTACGAAATATAATTACTAATTGAATTAAGAATTACATTGTAATTGTAATTTGTAATTGTTAATCGAATTATAATTTTGCACAACTCTACAAACTACTTTTATATATTTTTATTGTTAACTAACAAAGGATGATGATGATTTACTAACTATGAATGGAATCAATAAGAGATAGCATCTCACACAAATTAATACTTGTTTAGACAGATTTCATTAATGCAGTTAGTCTTAACTCTACTTTTTTACATTCAATGATAAATTTTATAGGCAAACCTTCGGAGTTCCGATAGGGTCACTGTTATCGCCAATTGTTTTTGACATAGTTCTACAGGACTTAGAATCAGCTACTTTTAATAAATTAACGGTTGACCTTACTTTTTACGATAAGATTGAAAATAAGACCGTTTATGTTAGATACATTTAAATATAAACACGAAGCGCCACTACGGTCTGAATGTAAAGATGTTGAATTATATATATATATATATATATATATATATATATATATATATA